CAATACAGGTTTTAGAATAATGACCCTTGTATCCGCACCGATTACAAATTATGTCAACAACCATCTTTGGAAAACTCTTTCCATTCGAAATAATTCTATCACCGAGTTGTTTCTTGTCCCCTTGATTACTCATATTAATCAATTCAGATACTACACTATAAATATCTTTAATAGATTCTTTTATATCTTTTAATTCCTGGAGGCTAACTACTGACCTCTCCACAAATTCCGAACGATCATCGTTATTATCTTTCATCGTTTCAACCTTTTCAGGTCTGCCGTTCTTGATTTCATTTAAAATTCCATTTAAACTACTTTCCAAGTCCGAAATCTTTATCCAGCAATCTGCCGACACCGGAGTGTCTATTTTCCAATATACCATATATTCTGGTCGCAACCAGAGTACATTTTCCAAATAAAAATTTCAAAATGATATAAATGAAATATATAATTACTATTAATCCTAATATAATTAAATGACGTCATATATCCAATTCATTAATGTTCTTATACAAGATTTTATAACCCATATCCTTAAGGATGGCAACTTTATTAATAAAAGTAGGCTCAGAATACTTATTGAAAATAAAAGAAATCAAATCATACAAAAAAATCCCTAATTTTAAAAATATGACTGACATTTTAACTATATACAAAAAATAGATAAACAAATATATATATTAAATGATTGACATTTAACTACAAAAATGCATAATTTATGACAGTGAGGACATCGGAAAATTATAATCTAGATAATAATAGTCAATTAAGCATCAACTGTTATTGCTTAATTAATATTTATTGAGTGATATTGATATTCTATTTTTAACACAAAATTTGATTGCAAGCTGACAGTGAAAATATAATTTATATGTATTAATCTAATCTAATATTTAAAATAGTATTCATTTGATAAATTTAGACACTCTTATTAATTTTTAAATAATAAAATTGAATCCATAGAAATATAAAAGAAATCACTCAGGGTGAAATAAAAAAATTTATTTTAAGTTCAAGGGGTTAAGATTCCATTTAAAAAAAATTTTTGCTTCAGGGAGCTATTCAAATTTTGTAGGGGGCTTGAGCATTTGCGCCCCCCCCTTTAGTAACGCCATTGATAAAAATCACTTACCATATAGCACATCAATAAAAACTATTTAATTTACAATTTACTAAGTTCAGAAAAATATATAAGTGAATATCAATTATATAAAATATTTTAATTAAAACCAATTACCTTTGTCCTTAAAGTTTACAAATACTAACTTTACAGACCCAAATGATATACCCATACTCAACGTGGGTTTATGGAGGGATCTTAAGGTGATATAAATTTATATAGAATTATTTAGTTTTTTAGTTAATATATATAATATTTACTTATAGGCGTAGTCAAGAGGGAGGGCAATGTGAAATCCCCCCCCCCTTCATAAATTTATCACTTTTTATGAATATCATTTTAAGCTAATAAAAAAAACCCCCTTAGTCCTCTCCCCACTACCTGACCCCCAAAAATGTATGCATATATCTTAAACAATAATTTGAAAGAAAGAATGTAAATGTTGATATTTTATTAAACTAAAACTATTCATCATAAATATACATTTTTGGAAAAAAGCATTTATATATAAAAAAAGTGAACCAAAAATATTTTCAAAGAAATGGAATATAAGCAAAAGATAAGTCTTAAGACAAACGTGAAATTTATTATAATTATATTAATAGATCCATAAAATTACTAAATAATATAATATATTAAAGATAATTTTTTATAAAGTGAGTAATTTTAATTTATTTATCCTAATAAAAGTAATATAATTATAAAACTATTGATAAAATTAAATAAAAAAATTAAAGCAAAATACAAACAGTGGATTATTATATGTCGTAGATTAACAGTTTATCTAATTTTTTTAATTATTATATGACAATCAAATAATTTTTACCAATATAGCGAATTATATATTTTACAGAAAACTATAAAATATTGATAAGGACAACAGAAAATATATTTTAAAGACTTTGTGGGATGAATAATATAAAGATTAATTATTCATATATTTTATTTAAAATAAATAGATGGCGTTAAATAATTGAATGCAAATTGTTGCTATATTTATTATCAAGAGCATTAATTAGTAAATTATTAAAATATTAACTGTAATATATTCTCTAACTGTCAAATATGTCTGTAAAAATGGAATTTTACCTAGTATTTTGTAACCAATTCTATATAATAGAGAAATATCAACTATATGTCTACTTACTTTTTATAAATAAATTTCTTATACTTGCTTTGAATAAATTATTACTATGCTTTTATATTAATGTATATACAAGTAATTTATTATATTTTATACAAACTAATAAAAATATATTTCATATTTGTTCCAGGCCTTTTTTTTTATTAAAATTAACCTCCTTGTAAAAATATTTTATGACTATATATAAACTAAGGTAATCCGGCCGAAGGCCTCAAAAGCGGGTCGAAGGCCCACCCCAAACATAGGAAAATCGTGGCTATGCTTATGTGTTTATTCAAATAAATTGCTTAATTTTCTAGTATTTGATTTAATAGTACTAACTTAGTAGCATCCAATATAGCATACACCTTTTTCAAATTTTTAAATAATATACCCTATTTATAATGTAAGATTAAAAAATTGTGAAAATTTTCACAAAAAAAAATTATAGTCCTAACTTAATAGCAATTAATATAGCACATCCCTTTTCCATTTTTAATATAAAATTAAAGTATTGCTAAAATTTTTAATATAAAATTAAAGTATTGCTAAAATTTTTAAAATAAAAAAAAAAATTTAATTATTATAACTTTTGAGTAATGAAACTTTGAATTATTATAACATAAAAAATTTTCACCCATATCCACAAGATCGCATATTTGTTATTTTTAAATAAAAAAAATATTAAAATAAAAAAAAATATATAAAAAAAAATAATATTAAAAATTTCCCAGAGTTTCAGTGAGTTACTTATTATAGATAATAATTATGTAAAATATTTTAATTAAAATAAATTACCTCTGCCTGCATTTAAGGTTGACAAATACTTGCTAATATTGAATGAATAACTTTAATTTACAATTTACTAAGTTTAGTAAAATATTTGAAATTTTTCGAAATATTATCGCGAAATGATATAAATAATGACAAAACAAAGTCAAATAGATGGTCCCAATACCGATAAAGGTAGAATCTGAGAATCTAATAACATATAAAGGAAAATTTTTAATTTAGATAGATAAAATATTATTGTAGTGATCCCATATTTATAAAAAAATAATATAAAAGATGCGCCGACCAATGAAAATTGAGAAATAATTCTCTCGCCTTAGTATAATTATACGGCTGAGCACACGATATAGCGAAGACCGAAACAGCGAAAATCAGGGAACATTTTTATGTTCCCAAAAATGTTCCCAGTATGGCGTAATTTTTGATATGAGAAAAGTATATAATTGGTTTTACAATGAAAATCCCAACTGAAAATTAAAAACAATTATTAGGCGTAGTGAATTAGATATTAAAGTATAATAACTTTTTATAAACTTTTATTTGTAAATAAAATTTTAATTAGAAAACTCAAAAAGGAAATAATTTCATAATCTATAAAGGTTATGAATATATATTCCATAAAAATGCAACTGATTTTACTTGTAGAAAAGGTGTGAAGGCCGAGAAAAATTGATGGCCGATTAAAAATTTATCATAAATATGAAACATGATATAACTTGCAAATTAAAGCAAGGTACATAAATTTAATGTGATACTGTAAATAAATTTAATAATTTAGGGGTAAATTCAATTCATTCCTCTCATAAGAGATAATATCATTTCCTCTTGAAAGTATAAATTTTTTACCAATTTAATTTAGTAATTTTAAGGATTTTTGGCCCAAATTTAATTCAGCACCTAAAATGTAGTAGAAGAAGATGCGGAGGTCATGCTTACTTCTGCTGAAGGTATAGATTTATTTTACTTTATTTATTATATTAAATTTAATTTTTTAGGTGCAAATTCAATTCAGCTTGCAAATGATAATAAGTCAGCAGGAGAAGCAGCTACTGAAAGATTTTTATCCTTTAAATCAACATAATTAATAAATCTATTTTAGATTATGGTGATTTTCCAATAAATATAGAAATTCTCTAATTGATCTACATCAATATAGTTTTTATATATATTTAAAATGCAATATAGATATGAATCATGTCTATTCGATGTTAATATCTTATTATATGAGTGCATTTTGTATTATGATTGTGTTATTATAATATTATATATTCAGTGCAAATATAAACGATCTATCTGTCTATGCAATGTATAGATACTTAAAATAAATCATTTATTAATATATAAAGAAGACTTTAACACTAAAAATAAAAAAATCTAAAGCCAATTAAATTTATAGGGACACTTATCAAAAAAGTGAATGTAAAGGTTATTATTTAAAATATAAATAATTAAAAATGCCCTTCATTTACTATAAATGAATTTATATAAGAAAGAAAGATATATTGTTTGGCAATCTTTTAAATTAAATTTACAAAAAATTATAAATACCATGTTTAGGATTTAAAAATGTTTCATATTATATTAGGCACATTAGACAATAAAATTGTGAAAAAATTAATAACGTATTTATTGATCTATAAGTAATTTTGTATCAATCATTTTTATAATAAATTTTAAAAATTAATATTAAACATTATATTTAATTAAAAATACACAAAATAAAAAAAAAATATTAGTATTTTATTGATAATATTTAAAGAAGATAGAGTTTATCTAATGGCCATATATATTAATGTAATATACATAAAATTAGTATTTATAAATTGACAATATATAAATACCATGTTAATAACCTTATTTATGACATTTTAGTAGAGTAATGCATTATGGGAACATTTATTTATTTTTCGCTATTCTGCTGTTTCAATTCTAATTGCACATTTTTTTGTGTTTTACGTTATGAAACTAATATACATAATATTAATATTAAAGCTTAGAATATTTGATGTACATATGTATAAATTTCAGGAAGAATTATTTATAAAACGAATTAATGCGTCAAAAAATCATAATTTCTTTAATGCCATTTTCAAATTTGATATTGTGGAAAATATAATCTCACGTTTACAAGACAATAATGGTAAATTTCAATGTTATATACAATATAAACCAATACATTATTTTAATATTCAATTTTTTTAAATGCAAATGAAATATTTTTCTATTTTAAATTAACATTAGTAAAGTTGTAAAATTTATTTTGAGTTAGTATTCATTTCTAGATTTAAAATTACTTTTAATTTTAACAATTAATCATGGTATGGATCTTTTATGACTCATAATATGGAAATTTATTTAAAATTGGGAAAAAAATAGAAAATGATGTTTTATCTAATAATTAGAATTTATTTTAATAAGGACAAACATATGTTGATTTTTACTTCATTTATCTTAAAAAATATTTTAAATATATATTTTTTATTAAATTTTGGGTTGGATAGGGGTCTAAATTTTTCAAATATATTGGATGCATAGACATACAAATTCATTAACAAAAAAAATTGAATTTGCACATCTCATTAAAAATATATGGTTTAAGAAATGTATTTTTTTCTAGATCATATGGTTATTCACAAATATATAATTAAATATATGATGCATTTTAGATATTATATAATATATTAGTCCAATCTGGCCTGTAATAATTTTCCAACTCATATAAAAATTTTAGCTAAAATAAATAAATTTATTTTTTTTCAGTTTTAAATGTTTAAAAAATTATATGCTGGTCTAGCCTATAATAAAACCTTGCACAAGTTGATGGGTTTGGCCTAGCTTATAGATTTTTAGCTTGTCTGATTGTCCAAACTATGGATATTTATTAATAATATATAAATTGAGGATTTTTTTTTGTTTACTCTTCCAAAGTAGGGTGAATACATTCTTGTTGAAAAATATTAAAAAAATTAAATAAAAGAGATTTTGCTTCATTAAAATTATGAAAGAATTTGAGTTTACTACAACACTTAGTATTGATATTGGGCCTTACAATAGACTTGGAAATCATATCAAATATTATCTTGATTTTTTTCATTTCCTTTTACTTTCACATTATACAACATGATGGTCTAATAAATGTCCCATTAAGTTAGATGTATTTATATTTTTAGAAAAAAATTTACATATTTTAAAAATAATAAATTTAGGAAATGAATAATTTTAATTTACAACCTCATCATTTGCTATTTGCAAACACAAATTACATGTAACTATCTACAATACTAATTGTCTAATAAATTACCAAGGTATCAAAGATATAATATAAATTTTAAAAAAATTTAATTTTCTTTATTAATACATTATATTTATCAAATTTTTTAAAAAAATATTAATTATATGATTTTTTAAATGTTCCTAAAACAAACATTGGGAGGTAGGGGTGTTACCGATATCACTTTATGGAGGCCAATCTGATATTCCCGATATTAAATTGATATTGGCTGATTACTCTGATATCATATTTAATCTTCTATTATGTAAAAATACCAATGGTTTTAATTTTTAATATACTTTTTATTATTAAAACATCTATAATTTAACTATATCATAACTTATGTCATTTAAATATATTATAATGATCAGTTATACTTTATATTTAATTCAAATGCAATTCTAAAAGTATATAAAATATATTATTGATATACATATTTATATAATGATAAATTACATAAATCTATTTACATAATAAGTAATAAACATATATATTATGAAATTTGAAATAAATATTTAAAATTAATATATTGAAAATTTCTTTTTAGAAATCCTAAATTTACAATTTATTTATTATTTATTTCCAGAAAAAAATTATGCTAATTTTCCTAAAGTTGCTTAAATTTTATTTATTTATGAGATCTTCCTATAATTATAATATTGTCACCAATAAAAAATTTAAAATGCTGAGTTTCATCTACCAAACCTTACCCCTATGGTGCCTTTAAAAACTTGGTAGGCATTATCAACATAAAAAAATAATTTTCCTAAAGTTGCTAAATATTTTTTTATTTATGGGATCTTCCTCTAATTATTGTATTAACACCAAAAAAAATTAAAATGCAAAGTTTCATTACCAAAAATTTTGTTGAAAAACTTTTTTAAAATATCTTATATAAAAATTAATGTATTAATTTTTTTAAAAAATAAAAATAATAAACTCCCCCCCCCCCTTTCCACAAGTGTTATTATTATTTATTTCCAGAAAAAAGTTATGCTAATTTTTCTAATGTTGCCTAAATTTTATTTATTTATGAGATCTTGATTAGTATTATCTAGAGATGTACATTTCATTTTCTCCGATCTGTTGATGTATTTTCTGCACTTTATCTGGTATATCTTCTGCCCATTTCTTCCTCATTTTATCTCCCATTAAACTGCCACATCTCGCATCCGGGTTATTCCATGTCAAATGAGCAAAAAAATCAAGATTTTCGGCCGACCCCTTTCAATTTCGATAAAAAGTTGTAGACTGGTTATATATGTTCCCATTAGATTATAAACAAAATTTTAGCGCATTAGCAACTATATTAGCGGAGATAATCGGGGTTAAAGGTCCAAAAAACGTCTTTTTTTGCTTTTTACTTATGTCAAATAATTAGTTTTTAATTTAAAACTAAATATGATCAAATATTGAATCTAATATCAATAGCTAAGTTAATAATTTATGATTATGACGAAAACATCAAAATTAATTTTTTATAAAATATGGGTCATCTTATGGTCAGTTGAAAACTTGAAATTAATATTTCGAAATGTATATGATCTCCGATTTTTATTTTTTTTAAGAAATATTATCCGTTTACTATTTTTCTAATAATTTCTTCAACAATTAGCATGGCTGGATATTTATTTAAAAAAATATTGCGATTTTTATACTTTTAAAAAAATAGATGGCGCTATTTATAATAGTTTTAATATGTTAAAATTCATTTTTTTATTGATTAAAAATATTTTAATGTATAATATATCATAAAATTGGATTATATAACTTTGTAAACCTTATTCCCCTGAGATATTCGCAGGATAAAAAAATTTAATAATTTTTTTAATATTTCAATGTAAATTAAAAATAATTAAAAAATCCGACTAGCATACGAGCAAAAAGGCAGGATTAAAGGAGTGCAGGAAAATTATTAAGCTAAAAATCGAAAATCACATTAATTATCAGGCATACCCCCCCCCCCCCCTGACTAAGTCATACCCATCAAGATCAAGAATGTTATGAAATTGTCATTATCTTAAATTATTAAAATAACCAGAGATAAAGAAAATTTCGAAGATTTTGAAAAATTTTTTAAGTAATAAAAATAAACAAAATTATAGTTCTGATGAAATAAGCCGACTCATGCCTGGAATAAAAGATTGTGTATCTGTTAAAGGCGAGAAAGAATCAGTCCAAAGATTTATATTAAATAAGCTTAAATAAATATTCAAGATGTTTAAGGAAGAATACCCAAATATATCAATTGGATTCTCTAAATTTGCCGAACTTAGACCAAAAAACTGTATTTTAGTTGGAGCTAGTGGCACACACACTGTTTGTGTCTGCGCCATTCATCAGAATGTGAAATTGATGACAAATGTAGAAAAATTTAATAGATGGGGAATTTTTAACAATTCTAGATTATTCTGAGAATTATTCCTTCATTTTACAAGATGAAGTTCAGGGATTTCATTGGAACAACGTGCAGGCCACTATACATCCATTTGTAGCATATTATAAATCTGGAGAAGAATTAAAAAATATAAATTTTGTTATTTTATCCAAATTTAATTCTAAACCAGAAAAAATAATATATTTTTCAGATGAAGCCGCGTCTCAATACAAGAATCGCAAAATTTTTCTGAACATATGTCTTCATAAATACGATTTTAATATTCCTGCCGAATGGCATTTCTTTGCCACTGCTCACCGCAAAAATGCATGTGACGGTATTGGAGGAACTGTCAAAAGATTAGTTGCCAGAGCTAGTCTTCAAAGGCCAAATAAAAATCAAATCCTAACCCCATTAGAATTATATAATTATGCTAAAGAAAATATTAATGGAATTCAATTTGAATATGTATCCAATCAAAAATATATCGAAGAGGAATTAGCCCTTCGTAAAAGATTTAATGCACTGCTTATACATCGGACCCAAAAAATTCACGGGGTTATTCCCATTGATCAAAATAGACTAAAAACCAAAATATATTCTAATTCCAAAAAATATAATATAAAACAAGTTTCGTATTTAAATGAGAAAATTAATTTTTAAAATATTAATGGATATATAACTTGGGATATATAATCGATAAAAATGATATAAATAAAGAAGTAAAAATCCAATTTTTACACCCTTGTGGACCTTCAGCCTCATTTAAATTTCCTCTGAAAGATGATATTTTAGTGTTGCCTAAATCTCATATACTCTCGCTGGTCAATCCTTCTACTCCTACCAGTCAAACATATATATTATCTCGCGAAGAAATCTCACAAGCTAGCCAGGCTTTGTATTCCTTTAGATGAAGTAAGATTTAATTAATTTATAAACTATCTAAATTAGGCTAAATTTGTTAAGATTTTAAAAATTTATGATCTGAATTACAAATAAAAATATATAATGGACATTGTAATCGATTTAGTATGATATATATACATTAAAATATTTTTAATCAATAAAAAAAATGAATTTTAACATATTAAAACTATTATATATAGCGCCATCTATTTTTTTAAAGTATAAAAATCGCAATATTTTTTAAAATAAATATCCAGCCATGCTAATTGTTGAAGAAATTATTAAAAAAATAATAAACGGATAATATTTCTTAAAAAAATTAAAAATCGGAGATCATATACATTTCGAAATATTAATTTCAAGTTTTCAACTGACCATAAGATGACCCATATTTTATCAAAAATTAATTTTGATGTTTTCGCCATAATCATCAATTATTAACTTAGCTATTGATATTATATTCAATATTTGATCATATTTAGTTTAAAATTAAAAACTAGTTATTTAACATCAGTAAAAAGCAAAAAAAGACGTTTTTTAGACCTTTAACCCCGAATATCTCCGCTAATATAGTTGCTAATGCGCT